GTGCTATTTTCTTAAAGAGTGTCCAACAGAATATGGACATTATTAAACAATATTATTAATATTGCGTGCAAATAAAATTTTGCTGAAGACTATTTCAAACCAGACTCAGAAGAGAATAGTAAAAAAGAAGAAGAGGATAGTGGAACAAGGAACACCATTCCAGATGTCAGATGGTTCTTGGCTGAAAGCAGAAAATACCAGAACAATGTTTACTTGTGTTTTATTGACTATGCAAAAGAATTTCACTGTGTGGATCATAACAAATTATGACTAACTTCAAGAGAAATGAGAATATACATTCTCATGTGGAACCCGTACATGGATCAAAAAGATATCACTTGAACAGACGAAGGTAATACTTCATGGCTTAAAATCAGGAACAATGTGCATCAGGGTTGTATCCTTTCACTATACATATTTAATCTGTATGTCGAGAAAATAATTTTTTAAAAATTTTTATTTCATTTCATAACTTTTTTTGTGTGTACCATCAAATCAGATCTGACTGATACAGGAGGAGATTGTTCCTCCTTCTCCAGCAGAGCATCTAGTGGATTCAAACTGTGTACCTCTGAGATTGCAGTGCAGCTTCTTGCCACTAGGCCACCAGAGCTCACCGAGAAAATAATTTTAAAAAATAAATGTGCCAACACGATAGGAGAGTCTCATCAACAGCCTGAAATATGCACATGACACAGCCTTGCTTGCTGAAAGTGAAGAGGACCTGAAGTTCACAGTCTATACAGCCTTCAGTATGAGTTAGACCTCAACATCAAGAAACAAAAATCCTCACCCATGGATCAATAAACAACATCATAATAAATGGAGAAAAGATTGGAACTACCAAGGATCTAACATCCATGTGGAATCAGGTGTAAAAATAAAGAAATATAATTGTGTGTTATGATAAGCCAATTTTGCTGTGAAGAACTTCTTCAAAGGGCTAAAGAGCAAGGTTGTCACTTTGAAGACTAAGATGCACTCAAACGAAGCTGTTGTATTTTCAATTGCTTCCATGTGCATGTGAGAGTTGGACAATGAATAAGGAAGATGGAAAAATAATTGATGCCTTGTTAGCAAAGGTGTTGGTATTGGTGTTGGCAAAGACTCTTGAATATACCATGGACTGTCAAAAGAACAAACAAATCTATCTTGAAAGAAATGCAGCCAGAGTGCTCATTAGAAGCAAAGATGGTGAGATTTCACCTCTCACACTTAGAGCTCTTTATCAGGAGAACCAGTCCAAGAAGAAGGGCATCATGCTTGGCAAAGTGGGGGGTCAGTGTAAAAGAGGAAGACCTTCAATGAAATGGATTGGTGCAGTGATGGGCTTTAGTAGAGATTGTGGGGATGGCACTAGATTGGTCAGGGTTTTTTCCTATGGTAAATACAGTCATTACGATTAGGACATGACTTGATTGGCACATAACAGCAAGTGTACTGAGGTGACTGTGACAGGTAAATGAGGATCTGTTGAAGAGACATGGTCTCCAAAACTCCTCCCAAATGACTTCTTTTTTTTATTATTATTATTTTTGTGTGAGTGTACCATCAAATCAGAACTGACTGGTACAGGAGGAGATTGCCCCTCCTTCCCCGGCAGAGCATCTGGTGGATTCAAACCATGCACCTCTGGGATTGTAGTTGCAGCTTCTTGCCACTAGGCCACCAGAGCTCCCCCCAAATGACTTCTTAATGAGCAAAAAGGAGTGTTCCTTTTATGAACA